GTTGACATTGTGTGTTGCAGCCTGGAGAAGATGACACAATGTGCAATTTGTATAGCTGTCACGGGTGATTGACAGGTGAATGGAGCCGCGCGCTGCCTTTGACAGCTTGTTGTGATTGCATAATGTGCTGCTGCGCTGCAGACAGCTTGTTGCATCCTGGTAGCAGAAGGACACTGGCCTTCCCTAGACTGGGATGTACCATATGTCTGAAGCCTGCAGTTGTCTGTCTGTCTGTCTCCTCCGACTGCTGCTGGCCTGCATTAATGACACCCAGTGCACTCAGTTACTACACTGTATCCCATGTACCGCAACTTACTGATAGATAGACATCCTAAGCAAGAGTTACAGTCAGTTAAAGTCAAATAAAGCTTGTCTGGACAGTAGTTGTATATATTGTATTAGGTGGTAGGGTTTCTTAATACAACTGTAACTGAAAGACCGCAGCTTGTATATGTTACAGCCAGTGTCTTGTCTATACAGTTGGTGAGCTTCTTGCTGTAGTGATAGGGTTGAAATATAATATTCATATTCATATTTTTCCCATTAGGGCTGCAACATACAATTATTTTCAGTTGTTCTGCTGATTATTTCTTAATTAATCAATTCATTTGTATTGTTTATAAAAAAAAGTCTACCCAAAAATATTCCGTTTACTATCCTGATGTTGAGGTTTGAGAAGCTAGAACCAGCACATATTTAGTATTTTTGCTTTGAAATTGTTCATTACAGTTTCACAGATCTTGAGCTGATGTCTTTTGATAGATATGAGTTTTGCCCAAAAGTCCAAAACCCAAAGATATTCAGTTCACTATTATAAAAGACTGGAAATATAAATATAAATATAAATATTCACATTTAAGCTAGAACCTGTTAGTTTTGGCCGTTTCTTGCGTAAAAAAAAGATAGATTATCAGAATAGATGCAGATTAACTTACTGCTGATCGGCTAATTGATTATTCTTTACAACTCTAGCTCTGTTTTCAGTAATGATGGATCACACTATGGCAGATATAGGCAAAATTACATTTGAAAATGAATCAGACTGATGTTTATTGCAATCCAATGTTTTGCATTGCTTGAGACAAAACTCTTCCTGTGTGTCAAACAAATATTTAGTTAGTCAATTTTGTTAGGCTTGAGTTGAAATGTGCCTGCAGGCACATGAACTTGTTGCCAGAAGCAAGTAAAGAGATATTTTACACTTTAATACACTGCTAGAGCTAAAGGCAATTCAACATAAAGTTTGTGCTTGCAGACAAATTAAGAGTTTAATCTTGTTACTTAGATCCAATTGTACGAGATAAATACACTGATTTTAATCAGTAAGAGTAAAAGCACATAGATAACAAATAAATGTCGTTAAAAAAAAAAAAAAGCTGACAAGGTTTTTTTTTTCAGCCAGTGATAACCAATAATTACCTGCTTCTCATGGCCGATACCGATAAGATAACAGATGAATTCACATTTATATATTTTGAAAATAAGTTCATAACCTGCAGTTTATTCACAGCTGATGGTAAGAAAGGCTGAGATGTGAGAAAATATGGATTATTTAATTTTCAATAGCTGTTCTAACCAAATCTAACTGACATGACTATTGTAAACACAACAACAACAAACAACAGGTCTGACTCTTTTAATGTTCATTTACTTTTCTTAGTAAAGATCATCAAAAACTTCACAAACATACTTTGGCTTTCATAGAACATAAAGACAATCAATCTTTTTGCATAAGAATTCAAAATAAATTATTATTAATATAAATTATTAATAATAATAATATTAATGATAATAACAATAACACAAATCAAGTGATGACAGTGTGCGGTTGTCATGACTCCTCAGCATCTTCTGCTGTGCGAACACACCTGTCACAGTTCAGGTTCTCCTAACATGAATAGTTTTGTTAGAGACAATCAAGGACTCACTGGAGTCATATGGGACTTCCTTTTAAATAAATGATGCCACTGCCTGCTCTTTATAAGGCGCTCAAATGTCAAAATGTGGCATCAGGTGTCAGTAGGGGTTTATGGATATTCCATCTTTCTCACACATATGTTTTTTGAGAAGATTTCAATGGACTTTCAGGTCCACTATGGTACATTTCTGCTGAATTATCCCAATAGTTTCCCAATAGTTTTGTGGAAGTCCAGTGTTTGCATACGTGTCGCTGCATCTCAGACTGGAAGCGGTAAATTGGAGAGGAGGTATTCACTGCCTGCTTTGACAGAGAGAAATGACAGTCATTGAAAGTCAAAGCCTTCTCCAAACTAAACCGTCTTCTGTGTTCCCTCAACAAAGCTGCGGCTCATTTGGAAAAGCTTTGAGCTCTGACAAGTGAAAAGGCTCTGAGAGATAAGTGGTCTGTCTGAGCAATCAGACGCAAAATACTCCTGACTTTTGACATGGGTCTGCCTCTTTAGACCATTTTTCTACTTTGACAGGATGTTTTTTGGGGGGGGGTTTCCAGCAAGAAAAGCCATCAAGGCGAGCTACAATATCTGAAACTGATACATTAAAGTTCCGCAGAAAGGATAATTTGATCAATTATGCTGTATGAAAGAGGGGCCTCTAATTTTGGTTTATCTCTTAGCTATGACTTTAAACCCTCAGCAGCCTGTTGCTGCGCCTTGAAGTTACAACATTTCCATAATAATTTGGCTATTTACTAGACTAAACAAAGTAGGCCTTCATTTTAACCTTGTAGCTCTCCAATATACCTGTGAGTAAACTGTGTCATAGGAGGTTATGGTGATGATGACAACAAGTAAAAAAAATTTTTTTTTTTAAAAAGCGTTGTCAAACATTCATGTCTCGTGTTTTGTCTCTGTCCTTTCAGGGCACCAATGCCTCTGCTCTGGAGAAAGACATTGGCCCGGAGCAATTCCCAATCAATGAACACTACTTTGGATTGGTCAATGTGAGTATCACTAAATCCTCTCATACATTAACAAATGTCATTGCCAAAAAACACTGGTGTCATTTTTCAAAATAAACCACCATGGGACTCCGGTGAGTCACGGACAAGGTGGCCGTGTTGTTTGTGTAAGTCTGTTGGCCAATATAGGGACGTTCTGTTTCCTTGATTCTTATAAACATGCAGTGTTTGCAAATCAGCAGTTTCCACTTGCTGATTTAACAGAAAATCTCAAAAGAAAAAGAGACTGAAACCCCTTTTTGTCCTCATATTTGTTTGTGTGTCCTTGTCCATTCCTTCCTCAGTTTGGAAACACATGTTACTGTAACTCAGTGCTCCAGGCTCTCTACTTCTGCCGGCCTTTCCGGGAGAACGTGCTGGCTTACAAAGCCCAGCAGAAGAAGAAGGAGAACCTGCTCACATGCCTGGCTGACCTCTTCCACTCTATTGCCACACAGAAGAAGAAAGTGGGCGTCATCCCGCCCAAGAAGTTCATCTCCCGCCTACGGAAGGAGAACGGTGAGAGCCCATACCTGAGACAGGAAAGGCCTCAGTTTCGTAAAACAGGAACCTACCAGAGCTCAGGACTGGCTTATAATTGTATGAGTTGTGTGCCAAATGAAGAGTAAAACATATAGATAAAATATTTTATATTTCAGAACAACTGAAAAGTTTGCAAACCATGTATGGAAGCTTGCCATAAATAGGCTTTGGATGAATTCATGTAAAAGATAGACCTGGTGCAGCACAGACATTATGAAAAAGTTAACAGCAGCATGTTAACATGATGTATAACATAATAATGAAAACAATGTACAAGTTACAAAGTGCTGTACAGTAAAACCAGAGTTTTCAGAGTTTTCGCAGCCACTGTATTTTCTCCTACATGCTTGGAAGATGAGCGGTATTCAAATGGTTGCAATCTGCATCTTCACAGCTAGATGCCACTAAAT